AGGTAAGGAATTTACAATTTAGTGAAAAGGTAAAGACAAACATTTATTTATTTATTTATTTATTTATTTATTTTAAAAGACATTTATTTATTTATTTATTTATTTATTTATTTATTTATTTATTTATTTATTTATTTATACAAGCACTGGGCACAGTCAGAATCACGGGAGGGTGAGAATATTCACCAGAGCCAGAGCAGGGAGCAGAGCAGGCAGAAGGACCGAAGTACACTGCTGAGGGGAGCAGTGGGCGGCAGGAGAGGTCTGCACGCCATGTGGGACCCTCCTCCTGTGGCCGGGGAGCAGCCGGGGATCGAACTGGTGCTGCAGAGGCTGCGGGCAGCTTCGCAACCCAGCGCTCAACCGCTGCGCCACCGGGGAGGCCCCAGACAAACATTTAAAAGACAAGTCATTTAATTATTATTATTAATTTACTAATAAATTATATTATTCATGTTTGTTTTTTAATAATTCACTTGATCAGGTATTAAGCTTAGCCATCCAAACTCCATAGAAAATGAAAAAGACCTATGTGTAGGTATCAAAAAATACAATCACTTGCAGATAAAGATCTGCACATGTAAAGAGAAAAATCTTGCTTAACTTAGAATAGTTATCAGAAAGATCTCAAATTGATATTTGTACATTTGTGTTCATAGCAGTATTTCAATAGCCAAAATATGGAAGCAACCCAAGTGTCCATTAACAGATGAATAGATAAACAAAACAAGACATGCATGCAATGAAATACCAGTTAGCTTTAAAACATAAGGGAATTCTTATGTTTTACAACATGGATGAATCTTGAGAACATTAAACTAAGTAAAGTTAGCCAGTCATAAAAAGACAAATTTGTAATGATTCCAAACTATTATATGAGGTATCTAGAGTAGTCAATTTACAAAGACAAAAAGTAGAAGGTAGTTGCTGGCACTGGTGGGGAGGGGAGATGGGGAAGTTGTTATTTAGTAGGTATAGTGTTTCATTTTTGCAAGATGAAAAGAGTTCTGGAGTTTAGTTGCACAATAGTGGGAATGTACTAATACTGTTGAACTATACATGTAAAAATTGTTAAAATGGTGTTAAAATTTTATGTTAATATATATATTTACAATAGTTTTTTTATGGCACAATAAGTGAAAAAAACTAGCAACAAAAAATGTTGGCGAGGGTGTGGAGAAAAAGGAACTCTTCTGCACTGTTGGTGGGAGTGCAAACTGGTCCAACCACTGTGGAAAGCTGTGTGGAGATTTCTGGACCTACTAAACATAGAGCTTCCATATGATCCAGCAATTCCACTCCTAGGAATTTACCCAAAGGACACAGAAACATCAATTCCAAAGAACACCTGCACCCCTATGTTTATAGCAGCACTGTTTACAATAGCTAAGCTTTGGAAACAACCCAAATGCCCAAAAATAGATGACTGGATCAAGAAGATGTGGTACATATATACCATGGAATATTACTCAGCATTCAAAAAAGATAAACACATGCAATTTGCAGCAACATGGATGGCGCTGGAAGGGATCATGCTCAGTGAAATAAGCCAAAAAGAAAAAGAAAAATACCGGATGGTCTCACTCATAGCAGGAATCTAGAAAACTTAAATAAGGGACCAGGAAAATGAATAACTAAAAGTGAAAATCAAAATCAACAAAAAACTATGAACCAGAGACACTTTTAGGGGGCGGGGGTGGGAGGGGAGGGATTGGGGTCAGAATGGGGGGCTGCAATTGTATGGGGAATATAACAATAAAATTTATTATCTAATAAAAAAAATAAATAAATAAATAAAAAATATTTTGATGGAAAAAATGTCATTTTAAGACAATGAAATGGATTTTTTTCAAAGATTTATTTATTTATGTATACAAGAGCCAGGGTACAGGCCAGAGATACAGGGGGTGAGAGGATTCACCAGAGACAGAGTGGGGAACATAACAGGCAGACTGACTGAAATACACTGCTGAGGGGAGCAGCAAGCGAGACAACAGAGGTGTGCTGCACCATGTGGGTTGCTCCCTGGCTTGCCAGGGATCGAACTCAAGCTGCAGAGGCTGCGAATTGCTTCATAGTGTGGTGCTTAACCCCTTGCGCCACCAGGGAAGCCCCTGAAACAGATTTTTTTTTATTATAAATTTTATTTTTATATTCCCCATACAATTGCGACCCCCTTATTTTGACCCCAATCCCTCCCCTCCCTGCCCCCCACCCCCCATAGAGTGTCTCTGGTTCATAGTTGTTCGTTGATTTTGATTTTTACTTTCTTATAGTTATTCTTTTTCCTGGTCCCTTATTTAAGTTTTCTAGATTCCTGCTATGAGTGAGACCATCTGGTATTTTTCATTAGATTTTTTAAATGAATAAGTACTACCATTACCAAACTCTCTTATCTTCATCTTTTTTTTTTTAAAGATTTATTTATTTATTTGTACAAGCATTGGGTACAGTCAGAAGTGCGGGAGGGTGAGAGAATTCACCAGAGCCAGAGCGGGGAGCAGAGCAGGCAGAAGGACCGAAGTACACTGCTGAGGAGAGCAGCGGGCGGCAGGAGAGGTCTGCGCGCCATGTGGGACCCTCCTCCGGTGGCCGGGGAGCAGCCGGGGATCGAACCGGTGCTGCAGAGGCTGCGGGCAGCTTTACAACCCAGCGCTCAACCGCTGCGCCACCAGGGAGGCCCTCTTATCTTCATCTTAACAAACTCCAAATCTACCAAATAATATAGTAAGTCATCACTTAACATTGTTAATAGGTGAACCTATGTATAGTCATTTCAGCCAATATCCACAGGGATTATTTTTCTCTCATCAATGTTATAATGAAATGACATTTTTCAAGGATCTGCTCAACCTGAGATCTAAAAGAGGAGCTGGGACCTTATCTCACATTTCCATCACCCTTATCCCACCATTTTAATGGAAAATTTTTTAAACTTATTGATTTATCATTTAGAGTAGGCATCAGTTCAGTTTCAACACATATCCCTAAAGAGTAAAAATAAAGGTTTTAGTACTTTCTTTTGACCAAAATCACCTTGTATAGCTCATCCTGAGCCAACAATATTATGTAGCGTCATATACTTTTAAGCTACATTAGTACTTCTACAAAACCATTCCTGGATTGGTCAGATTGCTATGCTCAATATTATGTCTGACTTTGGAAGATCTTAGAGAAATGAGAATGACTCTGTAGGCAAGTAAACAAGATGATGATGAATTGGAAAAACATGTCACATGAAAGGAACTGGGTTTGTTTCCCCTGAGAAACTACCAACCAAATCCAGAATCATGATCTCTGTCTTCAGATATGAAGAGACTGTAATATTACAGAGAATTTTATTGGAATATGAGTATAAATTACAGAAGGAAAGATTTCAAGTTCACATTTTAAAAATACTTTTCATGGCTTAAGAGTTACCTAACAGGCTTCCTTATGGGAGATTTACTTCCCATTGCAGGAAGTTTTTAAGAAGGTAGGTAACTTAAAATCCGGAGAACTATGTAGAAAGTATCTTTATGATGGTCCCTAGGACTTAATTTTGTTTTTGTTTTTAAATTCTGGGACTCTAGGAAACCCAGTTTGAAAACTGCTGATAAAGCAGCCAGATAGAAAAATCTAGTGGCTTCCCTGGTGGTCTAGAGGTTAAGTCTCAGCGCTATCACTGCTACAGCCTGAATTCGATCCTGGGCTAGGAAGCTAACTCACATACGGCAAAGCAGACGACCTCTCCTGTCTCCCCCTCTGTTCCCCTTAGCAGTGTATTTCAGCAAATCAGCCTGTTCTGCTCCTACTCTGTCTCTGGAGAAGCCTCTTGCCCTCTCCCCAACCCCACATACCTTTGGCCTATACCCAGTTCTTCTAAGCAAAAAATAAATTAAAATTTGAAAAGAAAAAGAAAAATATCTAGTTATTCTAATGCCCATTTTCTATTTTAATCATTCAGTATATAAAATAGCCATTAAAAATTCTGAATTGAAGAATGACATGGTTTGATTTTTTTCTTAGGAAGGTCACTCTGTTGTCAATATGAAACTAAAATTAAAACTGGGATGAAGTAGGAGACCAATTTAGAGGTTGCTTCAATGGCTAAGGCAAGAAATGATTAACTTAAAAACTTTAGCAATGATGGACAGAGAGGTAGAATTAAAAAGACCTAAGAAAGAGTATGGTATAATGGGAAGAGAGAAATCTGAGTTAATTTTCAACTTTAGCACTTTGGGGATTGAGTGAAGTGGACATTAGCAGATATTGAACATATGGAGAAACAGCAGGTTTGACCAGAACAATCTTGACTTTAGCTTTAGACCTTGTAAGTTTGAAGTAAGTCTAACTCACGTCAGTCAGATCAAGTGTGCAATGGAAAAATCGGAGATAGAATTTAGGAGCCACATCTAACTTGGAGAAATAAAGTTTGGAGTCATGGATACATAATAAATATGATGAGTGATACCATGGGAGAAGAGAATAGGTGAAATTAGCTAGGAAGACTGTAAGTAGAGAGATAAGGTATGAGAGGAACCTGGGTACATCTTGACTACTACTTATAGCTGATAATGGCACACAATAAAAATAATGCAGGAGAAATGTTAAAAAAAAATGCCCACTGCTCCCCTCAGCAGTGTATTTTGGTCCTTCTGCCTGCTCTGCTCTCTACTCTGGCTCTGGTGAATTCTCTCACCCTCCCACGCTTCTGACTGTACCCAGTGCTTGCATAAATAAAATAAATAAATCTTTTAAAAAAAAAAAAGTAAGTCACTCCCATTTAAAAAAAAGAATATCATGACTAAAATTGTTATTAGTTGAATTTTTATTTGGCCTGGGCATTTCTATTCATTCATTATTGTTTTGTTTTGTTCTTTATCAAATTGACTATGTTGGCCTTGAATCTGATCAGTGCAAATTTATACTATTGCTTAATAAAAAAAATCATACTTCCATAAGTATGATGTATATGAGGTATATTTCCTTAGACCTTCTTTGCTCTTTGTTTACCTCAGGAAATGCAACTTCACCACAAGTACAAAGACCATCTTTCATGGACTACTTTGATAAACAGGATTTCAAGAATAAGAGTCATGAAAACTGTAATCAGAACATGCACGAACCCTTCCCTATGTCCAAAAACGTTTTTCCTGATAACTGGAAAGTCCCTCAAGATGGAGATTTTGATTTTGTAAGTACCTTTTTATTTTCACATTTATGTTTTCTCCTTTATTTTATCATCATGTTGAGAAATATAGCATGTGTGTGTGAATGTGTAAAATTACAGGCTGCATATTCAGTGTATAGCCATGTATGTGGGTAAAGGAATTGTGAAATTGTCATTTGCTTGTAAAAATGTACTTGCAAAGTAATATACATACATAGTTGTTTACAGTTAAATATGTCCATATTTAGAGAAATAATAGGACTCTTTAAACTAAAATGGCAACTGCTTCAAAAGATGTTTTGAATAATGTGAATGTGAGATTCTTCTGACAGGATTCAGCTTCCGACACAAATGATGCAAAGGCTTTTATAATGTAGTCTTTGAACACTTTGCCTCAATTTTGAAAGCTAGTTTCTACTTACGCGCTAATTTCACTAGGTTTGTCAAAAATAATAGCCCAGTTCTAGTCTAGTTGCTATGTAAACTTCAGTATAAGCCTGCCTTATTTCCTCTTTTGTTCCATTGTCTCTTTATTTCTTCTGCCCTGTTCCTTATTTATTTCTTTTGAAGAATGCATATAGTACAGTTAATTAATTTTAAAGCAGCTGTTTCCACGACTTGAGAGCGTAATTTCTCAAAATGAGTTCTTCAGTGAAGTAACCACATTTTTGAAGTAAATTTTACCATGGTAAAAATTTACCATGTTTTAAATAGTATTTATTTTTGCCTATTGCTGTATCTGATTTTTTATATAAGATGATAGCAATCCAATATAGCTATATTTATTAACATACATTTATTTATAACTAGATAAAATTTTAGACATGTATCTCTTTGAAGTTTTAAGTAATATTAAACCATTTTGCTTATTTGTGCCATTAAATGCTTTGAGAAATATAAATATTTCTAGTGGTAAGTGCTTTTTTTCATAATACTGTTATTATTTGAGTTTTTAAATAATCAGATGATAAAGTTTCAAAATATACCCTCAATAAATTTGGTACTAAATGCTAGCAGATGTAAGCAATAGTAAAGATTAGTCTGAAAATTATAATATCGAGTCTTTCAATTATGAAGTTAGAAATTAGAAAATTAGCATCTGTATTTCTATAGTTCTAGTAAGATTTCATTTTGAACTATCTACTTTAAAAATATATAAATTATTTAGAATGCTGACATTCAGATGCTTTAAATCATTTATGAACATAATGAATAATGTAGAATGTTTAACATCAAAGAACTCTGTCTTGTCTCAGTTGGAATAAGTCTTAATAGCCTATGGGAACAGTTTGAAATGAGCTACAAAGTAATGAATAAATTATCATAGTTAGGAAATGGCAAATAAAATGACTTAATTCTGTTTTAGAAAGTCTTTGTTATCACTCCAAAACCTTAATGGCTTAAAATACCATGTTTTGTTTGCTCACAATTTTGTGGTAAGCAGTATGACTAGTTGGTTCTTCTGCTCATCTCACTAGGGTATCTTCAGTGTAGTCATCTAGCAGCTTGACTTGAGCTCAGTGAACTCTCTAAAGTTACCTCACTTGTGTATTTGACATGACCCTTTCAGATAGTTTACTGACCGTTGGCTTGGCTGTATGACCCTATCAGACAAGCCCTAGAGTTATATGTGACAGTATCAGTCTTTGAAAAGGTTGATAGCAGAAGTTTCAAGATCTCTTGAAACCTATGTTTACAGTCCACATCATGTACATTTACAATAGCATCAAAAAGAATGAGTACTTGGAATAATTTTAACCAAGAAAATGAAACACTTCCACACTGAAAAATTTTAAAACATTGTTGAAATAAACTAGACAACCAATAAATGGAAGAATTTCTCGTGTTTATGGATTAGAAAACTTAATATTTTGTTAAGGTGTCAGTATTGTCCTAAGCAAAGTAGAGATTTAATGCAATCACTATCAAAATCCCAATGACATTTTTTTACAGAAATGGAAAAATCCTTCTTAAAATTCATGTGGACTTAAGGGTGTCAAGTAATCAAAATAATCTTGAGAAAAATTATGAAACTAGAGGTTCATGCTTGCTAATTTCAAAACTTACTACAAAGCTGTAGTAACCCAAACAGACAAACATAAGGCTAGAGGTGTAGAATAGAGAGCCTAGAAATAAACTATCACATAGTCAAGTGATTTTTGACAAGCATACCAGTATCATTCAATGAAAAAGGTACAGTCTTGTCATCAAATGATGCTGGGAAAACTGAATATCCACATGCAGAAGATTCAACCATATATATGAAAATTAATGGAAAAATGAAACAAAGATCTAAACATAAAAACTAAAGCTATAGAACTCCAAGAAAAAAGCATAGGGGAAAACTGCATGACATTGGTTTTGACAATGATTCATTGGATATAACACCAAAAGTACAAGCAACAAAAGAAAAAATAGGTAATTTTAACTATATCAGCATTAAAACTTTCGTGCATCAAAGGACAGTCAGCAGGGTGAAAGGCATTCTCTCATAGAATGGGAGAAATATTTGCAAATAATATATCTGATAAGAGGTTAATATCCAGGATATATAAAGGACTCCTACAATTCAACAACATAAAATCAAACAACCCAACTTAAAAATGGGCAAAGGAGTCATGTTCATTGTAGAATTATTTGCAGTAGCCACGTTTTGAAAACAACCTATGTGCCCAACAAAAAATGAGTGGGTTAAGAAGTGGTATATATATACAATGGAATACTTCTCGCCTATAAGAAAAGATGTTGCCATTTGGGACAGCATGCATGGGGCGAAAAGCCAAATACCAAATGATTTCACTCATGTGGAATATAAAGAAACAAAGGAACAGATAAAACTAAACCAAAACAAACCCTAGAAACTTGAGTGTAGAGTTGAAGGGTAGAGAAGGGGAACAAAGCAGGGTGGGGGCAGAGTGGACTATAGTGGAAGATTTTGGGTGCTTGGTGTGGTGGGTATGGTGTAACACATCTGAGGAGGTATGAACCTTTCTCTAAATCATATACAGTGGTGTCAATCATTGTTACCCTAATAAAAAATAATATTGTACAGTTTTTAAAAAATGGGCAATGAGTCCAATAGATGTTCTGCAAAGACAGTATACAAATGGCCAATGAAATGAACAGAAGAAAAGATGTTCACTTATCGCTAATCATTAGGAAAATGCAGATTTATGTTGCAGAAGGTCCTTTGGAATGAAAGAAATTGCTATGATCATCTTTGCAAACAACCTATTAAAATTTACCTCCCTGGTGGTGCAAGGGGTTAAGTCTTAGCACTATGAAACTATCTGCAGCCACTGTAGCATACCAGGGAGCTAACCCAGCAGCAGACCTCTCCTGACTCACCCGCTGCTCCCCTCAGCAGTGTATTTCAGGCAATCTTGCCTGTTATGCTCCCCACTATGTCTCGCTGCTCCCCTCAGCAGTGTATTTCAGGCAATCTGCCTGTTATGCTCCCCACTCTGTCTTTAGTGAATCCTCTCACCCACCCCCCCGCCCCCTGAACCTCTGGCCTACACCCTAGCTCTTGTATGAATAAATAAATAAAATCATTTTAAAAATTGTCATAATTAAAATTCAACAGAAATTAGAATATTAAATTTAGGAAATTCAACACATGCACAGCTTTTGACATTCAGACCTCCACTGTCCTTTTTAGCCTCAGTTTTGTGAATCAAAGTATCAAATTTTCCAGGGGCCAGCTCTTCTAAGCTTTTGGTAATGTTTTCAGCCCATCATGGTTTTGGAGTCTATCTGGAAACTCCAAAATTTGTTCAAAAGCATTTAACTTATTAACAGATGTTGTGTTTTCTTCTTTAGGATATGCTATGCACTATTTATAAAAAATATATATTTGGTTAAAAATACAAAGAACAATTAATCATTAAATATAATTCAGAGCAGTAATTCAAAGGCTTAAGAATTACTGCTGTGGTTTTGCATAAGAAGGAGACTCCGTAATAGCTGAAGTAGTTTATGAAATTATATTGTGGAGGGGAACTTTGTCTAAGCATTGAGAGATGGATAGCCAGAAAGAGGGAAATTAGGCACTACAAAGAATGATATATGTAGTAAAAAGCTTAGAGGTAGGAGACCTTAGACATAAAAACCTTCAACTTCATTTGGAACAATATGGGAGATAGAACAGAAAAGCAGGTCTGGTTCATATGGTGGAAGCCTTGAATGCAATATTGCAAAGTCAGAATGTTTATTTCATAGACAGCAGAAAACTGCTGAAGTTTAGAGAATGGCATGATGGAAAATGTTTTATGATGATTAATATTAATCTTGATGGGAGAATGTAGAAGTGATTGACAGGAGAAGACTAGAGGTAGGGGAAATCAGTTATATGAAGCAGGCTTGAAATAATATAGTAGTGCAATGGGGGAGAAAGAAATAACAAAAAACTGCTAGATGTAGGAGACATTGTAAAATGTTAATTAACGGAAGTAGCTGATTTTTTAAAGAGTACTATTTTGGTTAAGGTGAGGAACTAAACAATTGAAGGTAAAAGAAGAAAGGAAAATGTGCTTACAGTAGGAAAGAGACTTCAAGAGATCATATGACTGGATCCAGTTTTTACAGAACTATTTTTTTTCTGACTTACAAAGGGCATGTAGCCTTAAAGGTCAGTGGGAGGAAGGGAAATGACTAGAGGAGTTTTTTTCTTCCCCAACATTTACTACACCTACAACTGGAGCTGCTCCACCTTTTCATCACTTTAAGGAAAGTAAAAAGTGTTTTAATAGTTTCTTGGGGAAATGTAAATAGGAATAAATAAGAAGTAATTAAAGAAAGGATTACCAGGACATGAATAAAGAATTGCTGGGCCTCCCTGGTGGCGCAGGCCGTTGAGCGCTGCACTGTGAAGCTGTCCACAGCCTCTGCAGCGCGGTTCCATCCCCACTGGCAGGCGAGAATCCCACATGGCGCAACAGACCTCTCCTGTCTCGCCCGCTGCTCCCCTCAGCAGTGTATTTCGTCAGTCTGCCTGCTGTGTTCCTGGCTGTCTCTGGTGAATC